AAGTGCTGGAGCCTCATGTCATAACCATTTCTTCTCTCCCTTACCCCCATTCCCGTTCCTCCTCTACTAGGGGTTGAACTCAGAGTCTTGTGCTTGCTAAGCAAGTGCTGTACTGCTTGACCCATTCTCCCAGTTCTTTTGCTTTTAGTGTTTTGTGTTTTTTCCAAATAGTCTTGTGTTTTTCTCCAGGCTGGCCTTGGATCACAATCCTCCTATATCTCTGCCTCCCAAGTAGCCACCATGCTGGCACTTTGTTCATTTTATTTTTGAGATGGGAGCTCACTATGCATTCCAGGCTGGATTTGAGCTCTTGATTCACCTGCCTCTGCCTTCTTGGAACAATGTACTGTGTTCTAGGTCTGCGCTACCATACCTGGCTGTCACACCCATTCATGCTTCAGCTCCTTACAGGTGTTGGTCTATCCATTAAAAGTGCCGTACTGTGCTTTGTCTGCTGGGTGAACTGCTTGAAAACTCTGCTTGGCTGTCGCTTAATCTGAGTAATCTTTCCTTATCATTCACTGTTTCGTATTTCCTCCTCTGCACTATTTTTACACTCTGTTCATATCCAATTATATTGTAACTATGTCCATGATGTACACATTGCTCCTATGTAACTGCCATCTCGTGAAGGGCAGGGTCCTGGCTTACACATTTCAGTACCTCCAGCCCCTGACCCAGGGCCTGGCTGCCTGACACATCAAGGCCATTGTTGAACCTTTGTTGGTGAGACTGTGGGTAGTGACTGGGACTTGTTTTCTAATCAGTCCCTTCCATCTATCTATAATGTGAGATGGGGTAGGTGATGAGAACTTTGACCAAATTGCCTGGCTCTATCACTTGTGAACCATGTAAATTTAATTGTCACCTCTGCTTCCTTTGCTGTAACAGTACAGTCATGCGCCACACAACAACGTGTCAGTCAATGTTGATCCACATATACTTCTGTGGTCCCGTAAGATAATAATGGAGCTGAAAAATTCCTGGTGCCTAGGACCAATGTAGCTGACCTGCCATTGAAGCTGTTCTGATGTCCTAGTATGACACATTATTCCTGTTGTGGTGATAATAATGTGACCAAATCTGTTTAGAGATGTTTAGATACACACACCTCTATGTTGTGTTACAGTGTTCAGTTAGGTAACCTGCTGTACAGGTTTGTGGCTATGCCATACAGCCCAGGTGTGCTGCAAGTATACCATCCAGGTCTGTGTAAGTATACTATCATGTTCACCGGTGGTGAATGCCAGATGCCAATGCATGGTTGGATCTGCACCTACAGTGTTGGGGGTAAATGAATTAATCCAAGTAAAATTTGCAGAACAAAGCCTGGCCCATAAGAAGTGCTCAATAAATGTTAGCACTATCTGTATTAGGCCTGGCATTTTAACAGCTCTGGTGGTTTTAGAGTCAGATACATCGAGTTGGAGTCCTGGTTCCATCTCTTACTGGCTATATGACCTTGGTTAGGTAGACAACTCAAGTCTATTTGCAAAGTGGGATAAGAATAGCATCCTGGGACAAAGAGGAGGCGATAAGGAAAGCACGAGTGTCCTCAGGGAACATGGCTGTGCTATTTATGGTGATCTAGCCAATCGAGGAGGCTTTGCTATTGGGAAGCCAGACTTTAAGGAGTTAGGAAGCCAACTGGTCCCTGCTGCCTGTCTCTCCAGAACATCCCACTCCTTGATGCTGGCAAGTGTCTTCTTGTTTCTCCTAACTTATCTTCCCCTTCCCACAAGAAAGCATGGATGTCTGTCAAGCATGGATGTTTGTCCAGTTTCCACCTTTTGAATTGTTTTTAAATATCAGGAACCAAAAATTACATTAGGAAAACTTAGTAAAAGCCCAGGAAGGCATGCCTCACGTTTTCCTTAGTTCAATGGACACTTTGTCGTTGAAACCTGATGGCACTTTCATTGTAAAGCAGTGCAGATCTTCAGAACCAAATAAATAATTGAAAAGGTAGCCCTCGAATAGCTTTAAGTATCATCCAGAAAAGAGCATGAGTTCTGACAGTAAAAAACTGTCCTGGGGCTCAAGGAATTGGTGATGTGAGATGCTCAGTTCAGATCTGCCAGAGAGCTGGTGAGTGGTGAGTGGAGGTGGTCTTTGCTGCTGAGGTCTCTCTCTAGAGCTGTCCCCTCCTGTCTTCCTAACTGCTTGCCCCAAGGCACCTTCATGTGGGGTGAAGGACAGGATGGCTACCCTCTACTCCAATCTGTCTGGCAAATTTCCTCCACTCTTTGGATCACAGGCTGCACACCTGTGTGCTGAGGCTGTTGGGTAATTATAAGAACTGGTATTTGGAGTCCACAGACTTCAGGGGGCCTGAAAATGAATGCTTCATACAATGATCAAAAATTTTCATACATGTTCTGGGGAGCACTGTTGACCCTAATATATGAAGAACCATAAGGCCCTGATGTCTCCAAAGGTGTAAATGTCATACCAGTTACTCAGGGTCCGAAAGTATGATAAGATAAGCATGCTTCTGGTGGTTCACAGAATGATTTAAGTGATACACGACACATGCTTGTAACAGGAGTGGCTATGTGATTAATGTTAGAAAAAATACTGGTACATGAGAACAGACTTTTCATGAATGTCTAAGTCTAAGTCTTGCTTTTAAGGAAATGTGACTTACAATGGAATTTTATGCAGCCATGAAGAAGAACGAAATGTTATCATTCGCTGGTAAATGGATGGAATTGGAGAACATCATTCTGAGTGAGGTTAGCCTGGCCCAAAAGACCAAAAATCGTATGTTCTCCCTCATATGTGGACATTAGATCAAGGGCAAACACAACAATGGGATTAGACTATGAGCACATGATAAAAGCTTTAGCACACAAGGGAGGGGTGAGGATAGGTAAGACACCTAAAAAATTAGCTAGCATTTGTTGCCCTTAACACAGAGAAACTAAAGCAGATACCTTAAATGCAACTGAGGCCAATAGGAAAAAGGGAACAGGTACTAGAGAAAAGGTTAGATCAAAAAGAATTAACCTAGAAGGTAACACACACTCACAGGAAATCAATGTGAGCCAATACCCTGTATAGCTATCCTTATCTCAACCAGCAAAAACCCTTGTCCCTTCCTGTTATTGCTTATACTCTCTCTACAACAAAATTAGAAATAAGGGCAAAATAGTTTCTGCTGGGTATTGAGGGGGTGAGGGGGAGAGGGAGGGGTGGAGTGGGTGGTAAGGGAGGGGGTGGGGGCAGGGGGAGAAATGAACCAAGCCTTGTATGCACATATGAATAATAAAAGAAAAAAAAAGGAAATGTGACTTAAATACATGTTAAATGAGCAACAGTACAAGGATGGGTTGATGCTCAGTTTGAGAAACAAGATTGGTGCAACCCCCACCTGGCATATTCTGAGACACTGAGTCCCAGAGAAGTGGAGAAAAGGCCACAGAGTAAGAGGATGGTAAACTCAGGACCATGAACTAATGGTCCTTTCTACTCATCACAGTTCTCTATGAGTTGAAGTTTCTGACTCTTAAATCTCCTCTGAGAACATTGTCCCTATCAAGCCATTGTTCCTGCCCAGACACTGGGCCATTCGGGATGTCTGAGGATCGGCTTTCATTGCAGGAAGATGAGAAAGTTAGGGAAACCCCCGTCTTCCTCCTCACATGCCTACAATGCAAAGTTAAACTCATTTACATTTTAATTTTCTTGATATGGGCTGCATCTTACAAAATTGGTACAACTTAGGGAGATACTTATTTCTTTGCCAAAAAGCTGTTATTAATTGGATAATAGTTTAGAATTGAGATAGAGATTCTTTCACTATATTTTTTCCTCCAAAGCAAATTATGTTTGAAAGTTGGAACCTCTAGTAAATCCACAAACTGGAAGAAATTTGTCTTTCAGTGTAAAGCTCTCATCCTAAGCTATTTCCCATCTACTGGATGGAAGTCAGGGGAAATGAGTCATCAAGACAGAGTTGGAGACAGTAACCCGCATACCACCCACACACTCTCCAAGCCACCTTTCCAGGTATCTAAATCTCTTAAATTCATTTAAGGCCCATCTTAGAAGTGTGCCTTGCAGAACTTTCTGGAAATGACTTTCTAGAAGTGGTAAGTCTAAATCCTTACCTGAGGGGAAGGATAAATCAGCCTGTCTTGTGACTGTTAGAAAAAAAATTCTGGCATATCAGAACAAACATTTCATGAATGTTATTTTTTTGGAGGAGACCAAGTCTTACTTTTTAAGGAGATGTGACTTACATACTTAGGACAAGAGTGGGTTGATACTTCCTGATTCCTTTATATCCCATTTTTTGTAGGATGAGAGCCCTTGGGTCTATTTTCCCATATGGTGAGCTTGCAGTGGGCTAGAAGAGCTTGATTAGACTTTACAAATCAGTACTGTTTTTGGTCTTTTTTGTTCGAGGCACAACAGAGATTGATAGGTTGTCTGGTTACCAAAACCAGAAACGGGTGAGGGCTGCTTAGGAGGCACATCCCAAAAGAACAAACCAGCCTTTTTAGGGAGCTGAGGGGGCTGCCACTGCTCCAGCCTACTGCCTCATTTAGAACCCCAGATACCAAGCAACCAGGGCGCAACCCTTTGAAGTCAGTGTCGTAAATATACCAGAAAAGGTTGAAGGGGAAACCTTCAAGGAACATGTAGGTAGGGGATTCTATGATACCATTTAAAAGGACAAAAAGCAAGAGTACAAAGTAACAAAGCAGCAGAGGGAATATGCCCTGCATGGCTTTGGTAAATGAATTGCAAGAAGCCAGTGTGGAAAACATTCTCTTTGTTCCCCTGAAGCATTCATGGCATTTCCTACCCAATTTTCAGGCTGTTTCTATGGTGCTTACAGAATGAAAGCACAGTGCCTAATTCTGCATCCTCTTCTCAGCTTTGCCAAATACCTCTCTGGCTTAAACCAAATTGTTATGAAGAAAATGGAAAAAAAAGTGATGGAGGAGCAAAGGAGAGACTAGTCATGCTTTTTCACAAAAAGAGAAGTTCTGTAGGAGTAAACAGTTTATTATGTGTCGTTTTCAATCAAATGGAATTGCTTAATTAAAAAAAAACTGATCTCTTTTCTCCTTAAATACTACAGACAACCTCATTTTATCGCAGCAGACACCTAGAAACAAAACACGGGACCCACCAGAGGGAAAAAACTGGGCGATCAAAGCATCAGAAATTCAAGTCAACTATAGAAGAATTACTGTTAGCTGGCAGCTCTCAAATCTAAACAGAAGTGGCCCAAACCTGTTGGGTTTGACAAACGTTTCTTAGAACTGGGAACATGGGAAAGTTGAACTCCTTTTAATTCTATTCCAATTATTTTATGCATAGGGAAATTAAAGTCAATGCATCAAATGAAGACCCAAAGAAACATTTAAAAACTCATTTGACTAGTATTCAGTATGTGAGATTAAGTAATAACTTGTCCTCCTAGTTAACCTTGTCCTGGAATATATATAGGTTATTTGTAGCCGCCACTGCTATAATATTTTCTGAAGGATGCCAAGCTGTATGCAAGATCTTTTTGCTAAAGTCCAGACTGTCGACACTGATCTCATCTTTTCTCCGCTTGCCCCCCACACACACTTTTCGGGGTTTGAGGATAGCCCGGGGTTTGCTGTTTTCCCTCGAGGCCTCAAGGGTCACATCACGCTTGGTGTTTCGATCGAACATCCTGAAGAAGTTGTTGTAGGAGCCGGTCATGATGACACTGCAGGTGGGAAAGAAATAGGGAGTGACTGAGTGTCATAGAGAAAAGCAAGAATATATGCCCATTGTCTTTCTGGAGTAAATGACACTACATTATGACTTGGCTTATGGCACTATAGGTTTTATTAAAACCAAAAAACCCAAACAGGCTCTATACTGGAATCATGACTTCCTGTTGCATCACGAAGAATGCCAAGCTCTTTGGCTGGACTTGGAAACAAAGGATGGTGACATCCCTTTGTGTTGTTCCATAGCTTCTTTTTGGCTCTTTGGCTCACTGAGTCCAGATGTTATAATTCTAGTCTACCTACCTTCCTTTAGGATTCTGAGGCTAGAATGAGGTTGTGAAAATAGAAACCAGTTGAAACAATTTGAAAAGAGCAAATGGCTGCACATTTATACAGCACAGCTGCCATAGCAGGACTTCTGGCCACCTGACCTCAGGGCTTCATTCCATCAGCCAGGTGGGAGAAATACTGAGACAGTAGTGACCCATGGGGTGGCCTCTGCCCTTCTAAGAACTAGCTCTAAATTCAGTCTTTTAAGAAAACTTGTCTGCAAAATGGATGTCATGGTCTTACTTTAATTCAAATTTTAAAAGGATCTGGGGTGGTAAGGTGAGTTTGGTGCTAGATACTTGGATGGTTTCTGATTTTACAAGTTACCGTTCTTAGGGGCATTTGTGATCAGTCAGGAGAGCAGTGGATGCCTAAAGCCTTCCAGCAACAAGGTCCTGAATGTGTAATGGTGACATCTGAGACCAGTGGCAGGCTGGTGAGAGATAGACAGTTCTTGGGCACAGTAACCTACACAGACAGGCTTCTCAGGTACCATCTTGTGGTGGCTGGTGGGAGCTGGCTTCTGAATGAAAAGTAGAGTCCAGCCTCATCTGTTCTTCATGAGATGGAGGGAAAGACTGCCAAACTTGGGCTACTGTGGGTACTTTGTCAACTGTGCACATCAACCTGTTACCCTTACCCACGAAACTGAAGTTGTGAACCATGTTTATCCCTCGGCTAGATGACTGCCCATGACCTTGTCAGGCAGGGCGCTGGGTGCTCTACTTCTGCCATCTTATTCCAGCTTCCTTTATCCTATGCAAGGAAGTGACAGAGGAGAAGTAAGCACACATAGTGCTTGTGAGGCACAAAGTCGGGCCTCAGACCCGCACGTGCCAGACTCCAGGACACTCAGCCTCAGTGCTTCTTTGGCATTGATGCTCACCTCTCCCACCAATCTTTTAAACAATCAGAGAGAGTCTTCCCTGTCTCATCCCAAACATCTCCAGCTTATCTGAGTCCAAACCCTAATCCCCCAGTTGTGGTATATGGGAAACTAAAAATTTCTTTACTTACCACTTTAGGAGACCAGGCAGGTCACTTTTTTTAATCTCACTAAATTGCAGTTTCTCCACTGCATAGTGGGAGTGATGAACACCACCTTCTTGGATGGTGGTTGGGATTAAATGTTGTGTGTGAAGTGCCTGGTACATAATAGGTGCCTAATAGGTGTCAATTTTGAATCTAGGCTAAGATAACAATGACAACATCAAGCATATAAATACTATTAATAACAGGGCTGGCTTCTTTTCCCTTGGGGGACTTTCTTCACATGTCACAGCTGCTTTTCTCTCTGTCCTATGCCAAATAGGCAGTGTGACTTGAGTCTTTTGCATGTGGTGACTCCTGCCTGTCCTGTTAACTGTGGGGTTCATCTGGGGGCAATGGCAGAGGTTAAAAAATGGTGTTAGAAAGACAGCTTGTGCTCACTCAAAGATAGAATCTCTAAGTGGCTTGCTGTGAAAGAATTTCCATGCTACCAAGCACTATTACACTGATGCCACTTCCATCTAGGAGTTAAATCAGCCCAGCTGCCTGCACCCTGTTCTCACAGAAATCAGAGCATCATCTGTATTTGTCAAACTAAAAATGAGCTATTGGGAGGGAATATGAAGTATTGTTGAAATCAAGGGCCTTAAAACAGTAATAAATCACTTTGAGGGACTGTGATAAATGAGGTTGACTAGAATTCAGCTAATGAGCCACCAGGGCCTTTGGTCAAGTCTACACCAGCAGCTTCGAGGGGTGATTTTTTGATCATGGAAGCCCTCTTTGCAGTAATCAGAGCTGTTCAGGCTGAACCTTGCTGGTGGGCCATTAATGTCTTCTTTAGGCATGGTGACCTACGTGCCGTATGTGTCAAAGACAGAACTCTTGCTGATATTGAATAGATACCTGTGCCAGACAGAGATAGATTCAGGGTCTCAAGGCATCCTTTCCTTCTTTACAGGTCTGACTGCAGAGTCCATCTGATGACCTGCACCATGCATCCTGGCCAAGCTTTTGGGCCCAACTTCGACCTCCCTTTGGCTGTTTTTCACTTCGGATAAATTGCCCAGTGCCTTCTCAAGGTGAGGGTCTGTCTCTGGGAGGTTCTTCAGCCCTAGAGCGTTTCTTACCTGTCTGACCCATTCCATACACACTCGAATTTATCAAAAATGCAGTCATTTTCATAGAGGGAGCACAGCTTGCTGCGGAGGTAGTCATGAACCTGGGGGACAAACATCAAGGTCAGTCATCATCTGAAAAGGTGAGTATTCCTTGAAACACCACCCTTTGTGATGTGAGCCATTCATGCTCTCGGTGTACCTGTGTCTCCAAACAGGTGGTCTTGGACTGAATTCAGGCTTGGCCTTTCCTAGGTGTGGGACATAAGACGGTTGGTGAGCTTCTTATGTGACAGTGTGGAATGAAGAAGCATGCTTGTGAGGACAGTGGCATAGAGCAGGGCTGTTTTCTAAGCTAACTTGCTCACAGGCATTAGATGACACCATTTATCTGACTTTTGTTCAGCAAATATTTATTTCTCTCTTTTTTATTAGTGTATATTAATTGTTATGGAAGAGTTTCACCATGATATTTCACATATGCATATACTGTACTCTGATCAGATTAACCCTCTCTTATTTCCCCATCCCCTCTCTCCCCAGTTTTTCAACAGCTTTCAGTGGGTTTCCTCATGCCACTTCATACATAGACACAATGGATTTTGGTATTATTCACCCCTCCTATAACTCATTTTCCTTCTCCCCCTTGAACAAATATTTACTGAATGCCTGTTACATGCTTGGGATTTGCTGTAAACCAAATGCACTTTTGATACTTTATCCCAACACTGGGGGGGAAAGACTACGTAACCAGTACGTGAGACGTTTGAGGTAGGAATAAATGATAGGGCATGAAAGTATGGAAACCAGGATTAGGAGATCTGGGATCTATGATTTTATACAGGGAGAGTAGTCAAGGCTTCACCTGCTAAGGTAGCATTGGAGCAGAAGCCTTCAGGGAATGAATGAGCTGCAATGCTATTTAGGGAAAGGTTTTAGGGAATATCATATGCAAAGGTCCAGAGGTAGGACTCCTGGAAGGAATATGGCAGACAGATGGGTGGCAAGAGAGCTGATGACCAGTTCACTCTGCAGTGGAGCTGTTATAGATCTTGAGGAGAAAGATGTAGCCCTGCAACATGTGCCAATTCTCTTTCTTTTCTATTTTCCAGTGAAAGAAATAGTAGGGTTATTGTATGAGAGTGAGGGGGGTAAGGGGAGGGGTGAGATATTTGTCTAATGAGACTGGCCACACAGTTGGCTGCTTTTCTCCAGCTACACTCAGCAATTCAGATGTAGATGCAAATAAGCAGATAAGTAAGGCTCGGGTGGTATAGTAACATGAGTGCATTTTTTTGAGAGTATTCGTTCCTAAACCCTCTAGTAGAAAGTGGGAGTAATAATGGGTACCTTCAATATGCTAGCTGGTTATTATTGGGCAGGTGCTTCATTTATAAAATCTCATTTTGTCTCTAAAATCATCTTCGGATGTAGGTGCTGTCATCTTCGCTTTGATGTAATAAAAAGCACAGGAATGTGACTTGATTTGTTCAAGATCACAGAGGTGAGAAAATGACAGACTGGGAACTGAAACCTGGCATTCAGGTTCTGAAGCACACATTCTAAACTATCATAGCAATCTGCCTCCTGCCACATTCCCTCACCTTATGTAGGGAAAGAGGCTCAGTCCCAGACAGCAGCTGAGATAATAAACTCAAGTGAGGCCAACAGAAGGGAGAAAGAACTAGTAGAAGGGATGTACCAAGGGCACTGTTCAGCTCTGTTTAGTTAAGAGTGCTGGCTTAGTCTCCCTTTACGTGCAGCCTGGGCTCCTCGACCCCCAGAGTTCTGTTGGATGCTGAGCTTAGAGGTCTCAGTTGTCTGCTTAGTACTGGCAAAGGAATGAGGTCAGATTTATCCTATGCTCCACTGATGTTTTGGGTATTTGACAAGGCCCCTGAGTTATTTGGCCTGGGTAAGCAGTTCTATCTCTACAAATTAACTTCCCCAACTTTAACTCTCATTTTCAAACAGTTCTACACCCTGTCAAGGTAACTGTGCCAGGGATTTTGGCATTTGGGGATGCAAGGGTGAGACCTGGGTCCTGCCCTCACAACAGTATCCCTATTGTAAATTAACTCACTGACATCCCCTAGTGGGCAGAGCAGGAAAGTTCTATAAACAGGGTAGGGCATCTTTACAGCACCTGATCCACCTGCCCCTTCTTTATGAACCTTTCCCAGGCTGTCACTGTTCATCTTTGCACTTTGTCTTACAGAAACACCACAAATGAGTAATAGGTGTCAAAACGTGTGTGCTTTGAGCCAGGCACCAGTGGCTCACGCCTGTAATCTAACTACTTATGAGGCAGAGATCAGGAGAATTGCTATTCAAAGCCAGTCCAGGCAAATAGTTCATGACACCCTATCTTGAAAATATACAGCACAAAACAGAACTGATGGGGTGGCTCAAGTGGTAGAGTACCCGCCTAGCAAGTGTAAGGCCCTGAGTTCAAACCCCAGTACCTCCCCCCCTCAAAACAACAACAGCAACAACAAAAAACTGTGTGGGTCCATTAACAGGAACCACAGTGCTGAAGACTCCTGGTTCTCAAAAAGTAGAAGTTGTGAAGAATTCAAGAAGAAAGTTGAATCTGAACCATTAGTTTTCTTCCTTAGTGCTTGAGATCTGAGGAGCTCCTACTTGCCTTCCATTGAGATCATTTAAAGCAAAAGAACATCTATGAAGATATGTTGTATTTATGCTCTGATGCTAAAAATAAATGTTAAACCAGAGGACTTTTCTCCACCAGAAATGAGAATAAGATATATATGCGCAACATGGAAAGCACAGACCAAGAGAGAACTTAAAATTCATCCTGTTCGTTCCTTCTTTCTTGGTGTAACTATGAGCTTGTGTGGGCTTCCTGGCCCTGGACTGAGGCTCCAACACAGTGGTTCTCTTAAGAGTAGTGGACTACTCTTAAGGCCTAGCAAGAATAAACTTCTGAGTTAGTCTTACATTTTAGGAGTTGACAAAAATGTTTCCAGTAAAAGGCCACAAACAAGTATCTCTAATTCAAAATTGTTGAGATCAGTATTTCAGATTTAGGAATATTTGCATAGACATAATGAGATATGTTGGGAATGGGCCCAAGTTAAAACACAATATGCATTTGTGTTTCATGTATACCTTTTACATAGCTTAAAGGTGACTTATAATATTTTAAATAATTTTGTGCATGAAAGTATGTGAGATTAGGTGCAGAGTTTTCTACTTGTCATCTCATGTTGGTGCTCGCAAAGTTTTGAAGCATTTGGATTTTTGGATTAGGGATACTCAATCTGCACTCAATGTTTGAGGATTTGCCGGCCACTGGCTCACAGCTACTAAACTCTGCCCATATGGCATGAAACATGGTAGCCATAGACTCTTTGTAAATAACTGGACATGGCTGTGTTTCAAACATTATTTACAGAAACAGATGTGGGGGAGGGGAGGAGGAACTGGATTTGTCCTGTCATAGTTTGCCAAGCGTATTCTCTAGAAAAAGTTGAAATAGTTAATAAAGCCTACAGCTTCTTTCATGGAGACATGTCTGAGCTCTGTTAATGCATGTATAAAATGCACACAGTCTTCCTCCTTAGCCAGCCTCTTTCCCACTGGATCTCAAATCTTTTTCAACTCTTTTCTAGACACTCACCAAATCAGAATTTATTATTTTATATAGTATACTGCCATCTCTGATACAGTATATAAACTTACATAGTACATAAACTTAACTTGCTCTGAGACATACCATTCTAAGTTAAAATAAAATGTGGAATTTCATTTCAGTTCATATGCTATGATATCTATTTCTCAGTCGTATAAAGGTGATGACGTCCAAGTGTACCACCAGGAGAACATGGCTTCAGAAGCAGGAACTTAAAAATGCTGTTTACTTTATGTCACAGCTAGCTAGCTGCATTCTAAAACTAGCTTTGCTCTAAAATCCTTTCCCTAAAATGAAAGTACTAATTGCTCTTGCCACCATGTGTCCTAAATCTACTCTTTTCTAAGCAAGACTGTTCAGCAGGCTACCCATTGTAAACACCAGACCACTCGTGTTCCAGTTCCCTTCTTTCTCTTTTGTAGTCACTGAAGGATGTGATGCTATAGGGGTTGTCTCATGCAGTGGGAAAAGGACACCAGTATTGACCCTGGACCCTCACTGAGTGAGAGCTTGGGGCAGTTGCTGTGGAGTTAAGCTGAAGTCTAGGCAGGATTCAGGGACAATAAGAATCTAGTATACAGGAGATGCTATTTGACCCCCAGTTCAGTGACATATGTGGCCTTGAATTCTGGCTCCCAAGCTCTTTTCCACTGCCCCCTGTAACTTATTTATTTATTTATTTATATTTATTATTCACTTTCCCCTGGAACTTATACAGTGTCCTTAGCCTCTCTGATGACACTGCTACTCTTGAAGGTAGCAGGTGTGGCTGGATGTTTGATTTCAGTCCATGGACCATGATGGGACAGGTGGGGTCCTTGCAACTGTTCCTGTCTCATGTCCTCAGCTTCTTTGAAGTCACACATTCAAACTAACCTTCCTGCTGCACATCCTTCTTACAGTCATCAAAAGTTCTGTGAATCCTCATCTTCATTCCTTGAAGCACCTTTAGTGTTGCCAGCTCTCTTTCATTCATTATTCTTAGTGATTTTAGTGTTCTGGTCTCTTAGTTACTTGATCTCATCATATTCAATGCATTTTGTCCTTTGCTTTCTTGGCGATATAATGAATCTCATCATTACTATGGCTGTAACTCCTGAGAAAGTCTTTCTATTGCTACTTCTTATCTTTTTAATTCATTCCCTCTAGTATCTTGATGCTATCAATTCTTCAAATTCATTGACCTGACTATTTTCCCCTGTTCATTATTTCCCTTTTCAACTACCTTAGATTTGGCAATCCATCATTACAATTCTAATCTCTTAGCATGTATGTTTAACAAATTTCCCTTTCTCTCTTTTTCCATGGTATTCCCTTGGTAGAACCTCATCACTGGTCAAATCTAACTCTGCCCTTTATTTAAATGGACCAAACAGGTGAATGTGTCTGAGAAGAAACAGTCATGTGGATTAATCTTACTTTCAATCAATATTATCCTCAAGCAGATCCCTGAGCAGCCCTACAACATTTCCCTCTGTTGAGAATTTCACATTTTTCTCCTCATTCAGCAGATGACCTTACTTCTTATTTTACTGAGAAAATAAAAGCAGTAAGAGAACATATACATGTTCCCATCACAAAACTTATACACTGCATTTGGAGCTACTCACAGCACTCTTTTTCATGGACAGAGAATTATCCATCTTCCCAATTCCTCAGTGGACTCCATCCCCTCTCACTTTCCTCAAGAACTCAGTTCTTTTTGTTGTCTTTTCTCCACTGTTTATTCCTGTTAGCTTAAAGCATGCTATAACTTCCTTCAGCCTGTATCCCATCCCAGCTACCAACCTATTTCTGTTTTCATTCACAACAAAATCTGTTAAAAGAATTATCTGTCCTGTTACGTTCACATTCTTTCTTCACAGTCTCTAGAACCCACTCCAATCAGATACTCCTCTACTCTGCTTACTTTTCCATTAAGGTTACTTTTGTACTAAATTTAGCAATAGTATTGGCAGTTAGTGACTTCTTCCACCTTGAGACATTTCTCTCACTTGGCTTCTGGACTCTCCTCTCAGTTTCCCTCATACCTCACTGGCCACATTTTGACAATCTCTCTTACTAAATCTCCTTCCTATTCTCAACCTGAAAACACTGGGACCCCAGTTCCTGATCTTTTTTCCACTTATATGCATTGCCTAAGGGACAGCTTCTAGTTCTGTGGCATTAAAGACTCACTATGCACTTATGAGTATCATATCTCTAGCCTCGACACACAGACTTGCAGTGAGCTGTCTACTTGCCACCTCCCTTTGGATATTTAATTGGCTTATGTCCAAACCTAGACTCTCATTTTTTTCTTCTAAATAAAATGGCAACTCCACTTTTCTAATAACTCAAGACATTAAACGTTGGAATGATCCTTAGTAGTTCTTTTCCTTTTGTATCACACATCAAATTTGTCCTCAGATCCTAATGGTTTTTCACCATGGAAATACATCAAGAATCTGTTCACCTCCATGACTAATACCCTCATCTAAGGTATATACACTTTGCTAGGATATTGAAATAATTTTAAAACTGTTCCTGTCTCCTCACATGTTTCTCCTTCCCAGCACATCCTGAATGTTCTTTAAAAAATGTTAGTCAGTGAAGAAAATGTTCTGGAGTTAGGTAGTGATAATGGTTCTACAGCTTTGTGAACGTACTAACACCCATGGGTTTATGTACTTTGAAATGGTGAGTATTATGATATGTAAGTTATCTCATGAAAAAAAAAGCACGTCAAATATTTCTGTCCAGATTTTCCCTGCCTTACTTCTTTTTATCTAATCCAAAATATCTTAAAAATAATATCAGTCTATCTTTGCTTTCACTGATGTTTACTTTCATTGCATCCTTGGCATCTCTGAATCCTCTCCATCTCAAAGTCTAGTTGTCGTCTTTTAACAAAACCATACTTAAGTAATGCTTCTCCTTTGTTCCCTTTGCCAGTGTTTGTTCCACCATCCACCCAGTGCTTAAATCCAAAAATCTCCCCATAGTGTTCTTGATTTATCTTCCCTTCACAGTCAATAAGAAAGCAAATCTCCCTGACTCTCCATCCTCCCTTTCCTGCCATCACTGCAGCCCAAATCATCACCACGTCCTACCCTTCAGTCTTTTTGTCAAACTGTAAAGTTAAATACATCATAAACACAAAAAGCTCACAATGTCTTCCTTGTGTAAAGTCTTTTTATGTCTCTCCATTGTACCCAATCCAAAGACAAAAATAACCTACCTTACCAGAGTTTGTATCATCAGGCCCTTACCTGCACCTCCAGGCTAAACTTTCTGCCTTCATGGAACTTTCTGTTCCATGTTTAGGGTGATCTTTCTACATTTCTGCTGACTCCAAGCCTTTACTTATATTATTGTTCTAAGTGCATGCTTTTTCTGACTAGGTTATGGCAATCAGGACTTAGCTTAAGATTTACTTCTTCACCACTCTCACCTGACTGGCCTCCCTGTCATGTGCGCCCATGGTCTCAGTTCCCCCTTGTATAACTGCACACTCAATTCCTTATTATCTCCACCAGATAGCTCCATGAGAGCAGGGCCATGCTTACCTTGCTCACTCTATCTATAGTATCCTTAAGTTTTCAATCTGTATGGGTTAAATTGAATTCTAGCCTCTCAGTGTGCACCCTTATCTTAAATCCTCTGGCATGTTCAGAATATATCAATATGCACTTTCTTTTATTCTTCTGCACTGTGAACCTTTGCAGGCAGAGGCTTATCAAGAGTCCACAAAGGGAGCACTCTGTATACCTATGGATGGATGCCATTCTGTACCTGGTAAGTCTCAATGGGGCGGTTTTCCATGTTGAGATCCCAGACTTTCACGGTCAGATAGTCCCTGGTCATGATATACCTCCCACTGTGGCTGAACTTCACATCCGAAATTGAAGAGATAATTTCAGAGAAAAATGATCTGTTGCTTGGATCTTCCGGCTCTTCAAAAACTGCAGAACAAAAGCAAAAGATGAATTTAGGCCAGCCTCGTCAACAGACTAATTTGTTTGGGTCAGCCCGAAATCTAATAGCTAATTTAGTATTTAATTAAGTAAAGCTGGTGCCTGAAGAGCATGAATAAGTTGCTGACAGAGAATGTCAACTCCCTGGCAACAGAAAAAATGGATTTCTTTCTGTTTTTCTCATGGAGGGACTGGCATGGGACCTGTCCCATGCACAGATCTGACACTGACTGTTTTCAAGCTCCTGATCAACATGGCTAACCCTGTTTCACATTTCCCCTGGTCTCTGATGTCACTGCACAAACCCAAGCCTGGAGTCATCTTAGATGCTTAAACATTTTCAAAAAATTTATTGACATATTATTCACATTACCTAAAATATATGCATTTAAAGTGTACAAGTGGTTTTTACTATCCCCATCTATCTATGTAACCATCTCCACCATCTAAATTCAGAATGTTTTCACTAACCCTCCCTGCAAAAGAACCCATTATACCCATTAGCGGTTACTCTCCATTCTCTACTCCTGCAGCCCAAAGCCCAAACTAATCTGTTTTCTGGTTCTCATTCTTAAAATTTCACACAGATGGGATCATAGAGTATGTGGCCACTTGTGCCTGGTTTCTTTCACTTAGAACAATATTTTCAAGGATCATCCATGTTGAAGCATGTTCTTTTATGGTAGGGTAATGTTCCATTGCATAGATCCACCATATTTGTTTATTTATCAGCTGATAAACATTTAGATTGTGTGTAAGACTCTGGGTACAACGAAGAGTGAAACAGAAATCCTGCTCTTAAAAAGGCTGTTATGAATAATATTGCTATGATTTCATGTACTGATTTTTGTATAGACATGTGTTTTCATTCCTCTTTGATTGTGGTATTTAATAATGGACTTTGCTGCCAAACAGCCTTGGGTCTAAGGTCAGACTTCCCTTCATTCACTGAGTGACTTTGGTTGAAGTACTTCTGTGAGCCTCAGGTGTCCTTATGTATAAATAGTGGCTATGGTGTCTTCTGCGAATATTGTCTACTTGCTCTATCTTACTATCTTTCTTACTAGCTGCAGTTGACTTCCACTTACAGAATAAAAGGCATGGCTCTTGAATATAGTGAAAGCCCATCATAAACTTCACCTAACTCTTCCACTTTGATTTAGATTGTATGGACTATATTTTGATGTTTCTCATTTCTATGCATTGCCTACTCTCCTGCACTGATCTGATTTCTTCTTGATATATATACCTCATCCACTGCTATCATATATTTCACTCCTAAATGTCTTTTTTTCCCCTTGTGAAGCCCTATCAACTTGGTCTGGCATTTATTTAGTATTTTCTCAGGTATTCCCTTACAATGAGATAATTTCTCACATTGTTATTTAACAATTCATGAGTCTATCTTATTTCTTTAACTAGGACGCGAGACTCTTGAGGGCATGATTTTGGTTTCACTCCTCTTTGTACCCACAATATCAACACAAATGTTCAATAAACATTTGTTGCTTGACTAGACCCAAAGCCAGGTAAAGTAATGAATTCTTTGCCTTCTGGGAGCTTAGCACGTATTGGGTTGAACATATACATTTGCTGCTGATATTCAATTATCATATAGTTTTGGGCTCTCTTCTTGCCATACTGAACCAAACACTATCTGCAGAGGGCTGAGTTTACTTGGCTCCCAAGGCTGCTGCTTTTCTGCCTGCTCAGTGCACTTGCACAGGCAGGAAGTAAATCCATGAGGAGAGCCTGAGCACATACATTCCCTCTCAAGTCTTGTTCAGTTAACCAGGAGCCAAACCTAAACGTTAGTTTTCAGAGCCCTTTAACAGGACAACAAAAAACCCAATCAATCAGAATTGAACTTGGCAATGAAAAAAACCATTGAAACAGAAAATCGGGGCTCATCAGAGTCTGACCCACTGTTACAGCCTGTGCCCTAGCCTCATGGCTTCAGTCAAGCATCAGAGAAGGGCCCTGGTTTCACTGGTGTCCTTGTAGTTGAGAACTAGGCAGGAAGAAAATTTTCACATTAGTTTCACCTCCCAGCAATCTCATTAGCTCCACATAAGGCATGTTAGAAGGGGCAGAAATAGGAGCCCTGAGGTTTTCACCTCCTCTGCATGCACCTATGGAGGCAGTAAGGAGGGAGGCTTAGCAAACTGTGTGCCACAGTCAGTACCTTCCTGCCCCTGCCGTTGGCTAGCTGTGGATGATTTAATTTCTGCTTTACTCAGTCTTCCTAGCTGCAAAATGGGGATTCATACTGGTTGGCATTTGAGTTGGGAACATAGTAGGTCTTCAAGGAATTCTGGTCACTGTTTTTCTCACTAACATGTACTGCTTTGTGTTGGTCAATCATATATCATTTCTACCTCAACGAATAAGCTTGCCTGTGGTACATGCCTCTGATCCCAGCTATGTGGGAGATGTAGATAAGAGGATCCCAGTCTGAGGCCTGGCTCTGGCACAATAATGAGATCCTATCTGGAAAACAACTAAAAAATGGGCAGAGGGCATGGTTCAAGTGGTAGAGCACATGGGTAGTGAGTGTGAGGCCCTCAGTTCAAACTGCAATATGAAAAAAAAAAACTCCTGCAAATTTAAGACTGAGGAGTACAGAGCTTGTGCACTATTAAAAGACAAAGAATATTTACAAAGATCCTTACAGTGTTTTCTGTTTCTAGTTCAAATTTATTTAGTGATGCTTTGCACTATTAAAAGACAAAGAATATTTACAAAGATCCTTACAGTGTTTTCTGTTTCTAGTTCAAATTTATTTAGTGATGCTTTTCAGTTTTAGTGTTATACCTAGGAATCTATTTTCCAAATTCTTGGCTATGAGGTCAGAGTAGCAATATTGCAAAGCTTCAAGACGGTAGGTAACCCACAAGACAAGGGTGAAATGGAAGGAGATTCAGCCCACCACTGCTTGTGGTGCTTGCCTGGTGTAGGACACAGAGGGCAGTACTCAGATAACAAACAGCATAGTACTTTGCAGTTCATGACCTCTATGCAAATTCAAGTCTTAATGTCAACTTCATGAATTCTTTTCATTCAGCAGCGATGTTTAACAGTATTAATATTTAATGCAAAGCATATAATATTCCAGCTTCAGTGATTTGCCTGTTTTATCTCCTTGCAACAGTCTGTGAAGCAGGAACAATGATTCCTTGTTTTATATCTGTGGGGAACTAAGGCATAAGTAATTTTTCCTTTGATTTTTTTTTTTGAGACAGGATCTTGTTATGTGCCCCAAGATGGCCTCAAACTCTTGATACTCCTAACTTAGCCTCCCCAGTGCTGGGATTTCAGATATGTGCCATCACATCTGGCTTCACATTGAGGTTTTCCAGGGACACAATGGTAGACTGAGGTAGAGCTGAGTTTTGAACTCAGGTCTGCCTGGCTTCAAAGTCTTAGTTCTTAATCATGATGCATTTCTGCCTCATACCAGATACAAGACCTTGCTGAGCAATCATTTAAGGGTCTCTATGTACACGCATTTGTGCACTACACAGTACATTATGTACCATCATTATATGTGTAATGTACATACATTTGTAAGTATGTACTGTACATTATACAGCACAATAATATATGTCAAAAGTATTCGTGAGCTGAATACATGTTAGCTCCTGTATCAAATGTACAATAACAAACAAGACAGATCCAGTCCTACCCACAGGGAGCTCACAGGATGAGAGGAGTGAAGTGTTAAACAACCACACAAATTTACTTATACAAACGTGATCATGTATATACATATATATATTTATAGAACACGTTTGCAGTAGTGAGACTGTCTGATGAGACTGGGGGAGGAAGGAGAGAGAAAGAAAATGATAGTGAATAATACTGAGATACACTGTATCTGTGTAGGCAGAATGTATAAGGAAAAGCAATGAAAGCTGTTGAATGACGGGGATGGGGGGAGGGTAAGAGACAGTCATAGAGGGGTTAATCTGATTAGAGTACAGTATATTCACAGGTGACATACCATGGCAAAACCCCTCTGAACAATGAACATACACTTAAATAATGAAGGGCAGGAATGTAAGACAGGCCCTGTTAGGGGGAGGGTACTAGTAGGAGAGGGAGGATGAATATGGTTGATGTACTTTACATACTTGTATGAAAAGAGAACAATGAAAACTGTCGGTAATTTTAAGTAGGGAGGAGGGGGATAAAGGTGAACGATGGTGAGGATGAACCTAACCAAGGTACTTTGTAAGTATATACGAAAATGTCACAATGGAACCCCCTGCACAACTAACACATACTAATAAGAATGTTGAAGACATATAGGAGTCTGAGATAAAAAGTTAGCTACAGTTGTGAATCAATGTGGATGCAATGGAAACCTTAGTATGTGTTCCACACCCTTCTCACGCATGCTGCAATGTCTGAGATGCTCAAAGTCTGCTGTGGTACAACAGTATCTGTGCCTGAGTGAGAGAACCTGACACAGTCAAGCATTTCTCCTGGAGACCCCCAGCTTGGCACTAGAGGTCCTGTTGACCTGCAGGGTTTCCAACAAGCTTTCAAAAAATAAAGACCTCAAAGAAAAAAGGGAAGGGGACTATGAGTGACAAGCAAGTTTTAATCTCTGAGGAAGTGGTCTGGGTGAGAATTCTGGTAGCCCCGATTTGGTCAATGGGGTATGTCAGATTCACCAACAGAGAGGGGAGTTTCTAAGATGCTGATAATAATAACAATAACAATAATGGCATTGGCTACCATTTCTTGATCTTTAAGCTTTTATACATAATCCCATATAATGGTCAAATTTATGAGCAGACTACTCACATTGTTCTCATTAAGAGATAAGGAGACAGACCAGTGAGCTGCTCAGGATCACACAGCAAGTCAGCAGTAGAGATGGTGCTCACCTCTTCCCACCTTGCTGCTGCACTGACTCCACATCTAGGCCTATCCTTGCTCTTTTCATACCACAGCCCTCATGTCCCAGATGTACTCGGTAT